ATCACTTTATAAAAAAGATACTTGCACAACGTATGTTTATCGCAGTGTTGTTCACAATAGCAAGAACCTGGAAACAACCATGCTGCCCATCAAAAGAGGACTGGATTTTAAAAATGTGGTTCATATACACGATGGAATAGTACGCAGCCATAAAAAAGAACAAAATCATGAATTTCGCAGCAACCTGGATGGAACTAGAGTCTATAATACTGAGTGACCTCTCACAGAAACAAAGATCCGAGTATCACATGTTCTCACTCATATAATGGACCTTGAACATCCAATGTAATACTATAAGAAAATGACTGACGGTACTGGGAAACTATGGGGGGAGGGGGATGGGATTAACAGTAGCAAATATCTGTCTGGGGATGGGGAAACACCTCTTATCAACAGGTTGCCTGAATGAAACATACTTGTACTCCTAACCCTTAACTGTACCCCACAAAACCATAATTAAAAATATTGAAAAAAAAAAAGAAGATGTATAACACACCCAAGACTCAAGACTCAAAACTTTTTTTTTTTTTTCTTTTTGAGAAAGCAGGATTTATTGAGAGGACAGAAAAGCTACCAGAGTGGGAGGCAAATTGAGGGGGTCCATTTTTAAAAATTTAGAAACAAGGTGATTTAACCACTTGTCAGTCACAGGATTTCCTATTTGGCAAAGTGACTATACCATTTCTAGATGGTCCCATGGGTTAGGTGCCTCCCACGGACTTGTGAGCAGCTGATTGCTCCTCCATAGCTCTCTGAGCTCGCTCCAGTTCTTGCTGTCCTGCCTGTCATTCCCAGGACACGCTTTGCTCATGAACGCCAAAGTCAGACAGAATCATGGCCTATGAGATGCCTGCTTGCACCGACCACCCAGGGCTTTGTCTGTGAAACCCATGTGAGCAGGCGCACAGCTCGCTGGGAGTATGAGGAAGCTGGGCTCCGAGCAACGCTGACAAGTCACACCTACTTCCAATCGCTGATTTGCTCAACTTTCCTATACTGCTACCACAGAGTGGGTTCCCCCACTCCACACCATCCTCTCCTAGCTTCTACCTCAGTGCCTGAATTTTTTTCCTGAATTTGTTGCCTGAAGTCTCTGTTTCTGGGCCTGAAAAAGTTTGCTTAGCAGACTGGGCACAGTGGCTCATACCTGTGATCCCAGCAGTCTGGGAGGCTGAGGCAGGAGGATCACTTAAGTCCAGGAGTTCGAGACTAGACTGAACAACATAGCAAGACCTCGTCTCTACAAAAAATGTTTAAAACATTTTTTTTAAGTTTGCTTTGCAGAAAGAAAAAGTAATGGTTGGATATTGAACAGCCGGTACCGTCCCTGCTAGCTGGCTTTCTCCATAGCCTGGACAGTTGCTAGAGTCACCAGCATGGCCACTAAGGGAAGAGACGCCCCCCACACCCCAGAGCAGGGGCTTTAAATGTTGAAGGCTGTGTGGTGAGAGAGACCTGTCCAGGGCTGGAGGGCCTGCGGGCACGGGAACAGGCTGGTCCCGGCAATGTTCCTGCAATGTCCTCTCTCCCTCCCGTGGCACCCCTCTCTCCAATGATTCCAGGAAACCACCGCCGCCACCGCAGCTCAGCCATGTGCTAGTGGCCGTTCCTCAGCTCCCAGCCACCAGGCTGTTGTCCAGGGTGGACCCACTTCCCAGAAGGGGTTCCAGGTGGAAATGGCAGCACCCCTCACAGCCCAGCCCATTGTGACCAGCACCAGGAGCCACCGGGTCCTGAGATTCTGAAGCCACGTTAACAGTGGCGCAGCATGTGTCCCAAGAGAGTCCTTGTTACCTAGGCCGTCCAGTGTGTGTCTGTGGGGGCCATGTTGCTCACACAGATGTCATCTGCAGTCCCGGCCACACCCTGCCTACTCTGCATGGCCACGCAACTTGCTTTGGCTGGGGAAATGTGGGCAGGATGGCGTGCGCCATTCCTGGCAACACCATTAACAGTGGGCATGCAATCCTGTCCCCAGACACAGGACTGTGTTCCCAGGGCCTCCTCATCAGCCTGAGATCCAGTCCTGCAGCACAGCCTTGCCATCCAGATGGGACTCTCCCAGGAGACGTAGGCAAGACTATAGAAAAGAGGGATGGGCTTGCCGACTTTTTCTTTCAGAAACAGAAGCAAATTGACAAATGTTTCTGTGCACAAATACTTAAATAACATTGGTCTGAAGAGGCAACACAATGTTAGGCTGTTGTGGAAGTCCTCACATCTTGGTCTGGTTCTGGTTTTTAGGGTCAGACATGGTGGCTCATGCCTGTAATCCCAGCACTTTGGGAGGCTGAGGTGGGAGGATTGCTTGTGACCAGGAGTTCAAGGCCAGTTTGGGCAACATTGTGAGACCCCATCTCTAAAAATAATAAATAAATATTTTTAAAAGACACAGAAGAGTTATGCAAGGAAACACATGAAACAGGAATCGACTCAGAGGTTGGCCACCTCCACTGTCACCTGCTGCTCAGGGGTGTGGTCTCACAAGCTGACCGCTGGTGGGATCATATAATTTGCAGCCACCAAGGAAACAGGATGTACACATGGCCGCACATGCGACAGTCAATGGGTGGCAGGGCCAGTGACCAGCCAAAGGAGGAGACGCTGAGCACACACAAAACTGTAGGCGTCCCTGTCAACTTGATCAGATGTTCCACTGTTATGTTTCTGGGACCAGTTCAGTTGGTAACTTCATGGTACTAGCAGGGGTCTCTTTTGGGAACATGTGTGTGGGGCAGGACTGGCTTCCCAGCTTCTCTCCAAGAGAAGAAGACATGGCTGATCCCATGTCAGGATGAGACAGAAGGGGAGTCCTTGCCCTGTCTTTCCCACTCCAGAGCAGACGCCTCCATCCACCCACTCTGACGACAGGGACGCTTGCCACAGGCTCTTTCCAGGCAGTTAGTCCTTGCTCATGCAAGTCTGTCCTATAAGCATGTGTGGCCTTCTCGTCCCTCGCCCCAGAAACATTTAGGTCCTAGGTGGTGTCGACAGCATCTGATGTGCGATCAGGTGTGGTCACTGTCTTCCAGTAGTCATACTCCTGTGTGAGCACTCATGTGCTGCCCATCTCACACCCCCATGTGGGTTTCCCTGCTCACTGTACCTAGCTGGTGACAACTAGTTGTCACCTAACATGGTCATCACGGGACTCGTCATGCCTCATGGTACCTGAAAAGCTCTTCCGCAGCTCTGGGGACGATGCCCAGGTGGCTCTGTGAATCAGATGGCAAAGCAGGGCCATGCTGCACGGAGGGTCCCAGCATGGTGTGGCTCTTCCCGCTGCCCGTCTGTCCATATGCCATCACACAGACGTTGTACCTAAAACCCAAAGCACATTCAGGACAGTCACACATGTGTAGCCCATGGCCTTGCCTGGCTCTGGGAAACATTCTTTTTTTTTTTTTTTTTTGAGTTGGAGTCTCACTCTGTC